CCCCCCCCCCCCCCGCGGTTCGACTCCCCCCTGCGCGCGGTGAGCGGGACCACCAAGCAGCTGCAGCACACCAAGCATCTGCAGCGCCCAGCGCAGCAGCGGCAGCAGCAGCAGCAGCACCAGCAGCAGCAGCAGACCACCCAGCGGCGGCAGCAGCAGCAGCATACCCAACGCCGCGGCAGCAGCAGCCGCAGCAGACCACCCAGCGCCAGCAGCAGCAGCAGCAGCAGACGACCCGGCGCCTGCAGAGCACCCAGCGCAGCAGCGCCCAGCGCAGCAGCGGCAGCAGCAGCACCAGCAGCAGCAGCACCAGCAGCAGACCACCGGAAGCCCGGCTAGCTTTCGTTCACCCCCTCTGGCCTCAAGTGAATTTTGATCGAGGGTATCTCCAAACCAAAAATTCTGGAAGATCTATGGCTCCAACCCTGGGAACTCCAGAGTGCTTCCTGCTTGACTTGAGCGAAGCTGTACCTTGGGGTCCCTTTTGCATACTGTTACAAATGACTCCAGACACGTGTACGTCAACACAACGAGAACCACAGCACTATCCAGACGCCGATTACTGTTCCGTCCAAAGAATATTCCGTTGTGTGTATCCAAACACATGTGACTTAGATGAAGAATACTGATCATCAAGCTGACGCGTTCGGCTACATAAAAGACGAGGACAGACCAGTTTAGCTAGCACAGCTGCGTGATGCAAGGAAACAAATCGCTGCATTAGCTGTTGTCGACTTGGGAGGAGTCTGAAGAAGAACAAGAAGAAGGAGGCGAAGACGATTGCCACTTCAGCCTGTATCATGATTGAACAAGTGCCGTATTTGCTGATCCATTGGACAGCTGACTTGGAACGCCTCGAGGTGCAATCTCGGAAGACAACATCCTGCGGAAGTCGCACAGTGAGGAGCAGCACTACAAGCATCTACAAGCACTTTGTAAGCTCGCATTTGAGTTGCCGTCGTGCAGAAACCTGAGAGAAGAGGCAGCGCACCAGACCTCTCAAAACACAGGCCTTGGAACAGCGTCTAGTTTCTTGTTGTGTGTTGTGCTCAGAATTTGCAGGGACATCATTAAGGGCCTTGACAACCAGGAGCCTTACCAGAACTGCCATCATGTGCTTTTCAGTGAAGTTCTAATGCAGGAGAGGAGGCGTATGCGCAGGGCCTCAACGACATGCGTTCGCTGGGAGAAGGTCCTTGGAATCACTTGTCCTTGCATCCTTACAGAGATGAAGAGTGCTTGACTTGGTTGTACGGCGTTGTGTGGGGTTTTGCTCCTTTTTTGGTGTTTTGGTTGCGTGTGAGTGAAAAGTGATGGGAAAGTTTGATTAAACAACCTTTACTGTTGCTGTGCTTCAGCAATGTCCAAGTCTTTTGCCGCAGAGCATGTTTCGCTGGCATTTGCAACGTTCGCGCTGCTCCGATATTCTTCCAGTGGGATTGTCCTCGTTGTCGCCATTGTCATTTGCGTCGTCATCGTGGTTGTTGCTGTTGGGTCCGATCGGATGGTTTGGCGCGCAGTATAGATGTTAAATGAATTTACATGTTGATAAAATTCAATGGACACCGGGTGTCTGGAGCATTTTTTGCTTGTGCAAGCAGGGTTTTGTGACTGTGCGCGAACCAGCTGATCGGGCGCGGGGAGTGTGGGTGGTTATGAGTTATGCTGTCGTCGGCTGCATAGAATTTGTCATCGGCTTCATAGAACTTGTCCTGGCTTACTGTAGTCGTGTGCTTAAAATTGGGTGGGCGGATGTTTCTTTTTGACTGTTGTTGGTGTTACTGTCGCAATATTGATGACATGGTATATGAATGATGTGATATATGGTACTTGTATGGTATGGTAAATGCGAGGAACTTATTGCGTCGTTTCTCGTTTCCGTTTGAGCAAGTGGTGGAGAAACAGATGAAGAGTTTGCTACGAAAGATCAAGTACATATACTGTAAAATCGTTTGTGAAACACACAACGTTTTTGTTTCAACGTTTGTACGTTCTATTCTTAAACGAAGTTGACATGCCGTGACGAGTCTTCCGCACCAACCCGAATCCACAAGCAAGCAACACACTTTCAAGCAGCACACGCTAGTTCCCAGTGCGCGTAGAGCTTTTGCCTACGCTGTGTCACATTTGGGGCTGAAGTCCGAAGCCACCACTGGTAAACGTAGCACCACAGCAACCCATTCACTTCTCCTTCACGGTTTCTCAGTCCGTCGCATTGTGTAGCCTAGGGTAGAAGAGTTTCTTCGGGCGTGCAAATAGAACCGAACGTTAACATCCCAACCCATCCCACCCGATATATATAATATATATAAGGGTTTATTTAAGACTGTGAGTGTTTTTACCTCACGTGTATTTTTATATGTAATTTGCACGCTTTTTGGATGGTCTTTTTTGGGAACTTTGCGCGACAAAGACGCGTCTTTGCCGCGCCTGTTTTTGTCGTTCGATTAAACACACATTGTGATTACTGACGACTTCAGAATTGTTCCACTATTCACTATTCAAATTCCAAGGTTTTCGTTGGATGGGGTCGGATGTAAACGTTCGGTTCTAAGTGCACACCCATACATAAGAAACTCTTCTACGCTACGGTGCACAATGCGACTTCCTGAGAGTGGGGTGGGGTGGGATGGGTGATGGGTTGGGATGTTAACGGTTCTATTTGCACGCCCGAAGAAACTCTTTTACACTTCTACGCTACGCTACACAATATAATATACATACTGTTTACTTTCGTCGCAAACCAGATGTGGACGCCATGGAGTTGAGAGTTGAGAGCCATTGGAAGCAAAAAAGCAGCGGTTGTTTTCTCTGCGGAGAAGCGCCAAGCGTGCGTTTTGGGAAGAGACAACCAAGTTGAAAGGCAGATCTCGAGAATCAAATGAACTTTCAGAAGAAACAACACCCTTGGACGCAGTGCTCCGAATCAGATGGACATAGATCTCTTGTGCGCAAAATCTATCAGCCAAGATCCGGGTTTGTCCAGTGTGCTCAGGAGTTTGGCAGTGGCAAGAAAACGCAGCATTGGAAAAATGGGATGTCCCCCATGACGCCTACTTTCAGATTGACAAAGACAATGCATGGTTGTGTGATACAGATACATCCACTGCGCGCGGAGGGCCGGGCTGCAGCTGGTCTTTCATGTCTTGAACACAAAGATGAGCCAATATGTGTCCACCTTGCCAAAATACTATGTGCACCAACGAAAACAACCCTGATCCTCAAATTCCACGCTTTTTGACATCACTGGAGGCGCGCCGATCCACCCGATCAGCGTGTTGTTGTTGTTGTTGCTGCTGCTGCAGTTGTTGTTTGTTTGTTTTCATCAAAAGCTCATCGTGATTCTTGCCGATGATAGCTGTGATACTGAACGCCGGTGCCTGGCCCTATGTGTGTGTGTGTGGTTTCTTGCTGCACGCTTTAGTGGTTGATCAAAAGGTGCTTGTAAGGACTTTGTTCATCGGGAACCGTTTTTGCTAGTGGGGTGTGTTTTCGTTCTCGAGTTAGAGAAAGTACAGTTCCTTATTCAATGAACATTGTTGACCTCCCGTATTTCTTTTGGATTCCTTTGGAGGTTTTTGCATTCAGGAGCGGCTTTGATTCCTCGCATTCATTTTAGTCATTATATAGACATCACCATGTTCTTTATTGTATAGTTTTGGCCAGAAAAGTGACTGAACATGCGACAAATCTTTGCGAAAGATGACATGATCGAAAAACTAAATCATATAGTATCATATATATATATACACAGGTGAATGTGAAAGTCGCTTTGGAAGATACCTGCCCACATGTTGCTAGGGAACGAATCCAACAATAAGGGACTTGCCGTAGCCTTTGCAACACATCATCGTCTACAGGCCCAAAAGTGTTCATCCAAACTCCAAACCAGACAAACATGGTTTTGTGCACTCATCCAGGTATGCAGTAAGGACAGCGACAAGACCAAGAAGACTTCTAGTATACAACCTCCCGTGAAAGTCAAACATAGGGCCGCTCACAAAAGCTTTGGGAAAGTAGAGTATTGTTTTGTAAGACATGCCGATTCCCTGAACAGGAAAGTAGATCAACCGACCACCATATCAGTGTTTGTTTGTTTGCTTGTTTGTTTGTTTTTTTGTTTGTGTTTTGTGCAAGAAGAATGGCTGGGCCTAACTCAAATGCCGAGTGAAGTAATTGCATCAAATGTAATTCTTCATTCTAATCATCCGACTAGCTCTTTGATTTGTGTTCGCAGCTGTTAATTTGGTTTGGTGCTTTGTTTGGCGCAGGAAAATCCGGACTTGGCGTCTAAGACTTACCTAAGCGAAGTCAAGCAGAAGAGTTTTTGTTGCTCAGGAGATCTGGAGTTTCAACGCAATTGTGTGTGTGTGTGCGCGCTTGTGCAGTCACGTTTTGACTTGGTGCTAGTGTCTCAGGTTGAGGATGCCGGAGAAGGCAACAACATTGTTTAAAGCGGCCTAACTCCCTTCTGCCAACTTCCGCAGCGCAGGTTCGCGAAATGCATGCAATGTGCCAGCTGGCTCAACAAAGCATCCAAGCTAAGGCGATCATCTCTCAGCTTCAGAACATCTCTTGTCTTTCTTGCATCTGAATCTACATATACAAATGCATCAGGGTGCATCAATGAATCAAGTTCCAACTGGGGAGCGGATTTTGCTGTTTGCAGGCTGCTGGGAAGGTGTCGGCAGCTCGGGTTGTTGTTTCAACAGATCAACCAGATTCAAGTAACAAGTGGAATCTTCACTTCCAGAACGATAAAGGGCATTCTTCGCGCTTCAAGCCGCAAGTGGGTCCTCAATCTGAAGCATCCGCAACTCTGAGGATATTGGACACAAAACAAGCCGTCGTGAAAAACTTGGATAGAAGAAGGCCACAGCTTGTCAGACATCAGAAAATTTGGCGCAGATAGGTGTTGCGCCTCTTCAACAGTCTTTGGAGAGCCTGACACCATTCTCTTTGTATGCCAAGTTTGCAACTGGAATCTAGAAGGACATGCCCCACAGCGCCATGTCTTGGTGGCTTTCCCGATGGAATCGTTGTGAGGCGAAGCTCATTGACTGGACAACTTGGTTCCTAGCCTTAGAATCCTCTGAGCGCTAGTGAAGTGTTACAGGTGTCACACGGGTGAGGAATGCAGTTTGCTCACTTCAGCTTTTGCAGTTTGAGGAATGCAGTTCACTTCCCAGTTTGAGCTGTTGTGCTTTTCATCGAACAGAGCTGCTGGCTAGCCAGGTGGAGGAGAAGACTTCCAGTTGGCTAGCCTCACTGACGAGTTTTGCTCGTGCGCAGCTTGGTGGGGCTGTACGCCGACACTACATGTTTACTTGGAGGTGATCCTCCATCCCCGACATCGGTCAGAGAAGTAGGCGGGCACCAAGTCAGTCCAAGTTTATGAAGAAGAGTCAGAACATTACATTTGTGAACCAAAGGCCTGCAACAATCATCAATCCTTTAAGGTCTCAAAGCTGAGAGTCTTGGTCCATCTGTGTGACACAGACGCGTTTACACATGCCCAGATTCGCAATGATGTGCAATGTGTTGAGCTGCAGGTTTGAAGATGTTTGAAGCCTTTCAATCCTTTCAGTGCTTTTCGTCCAACAGCACTACCGCCAGGCGACCCAGCGCAAGTACTCGTTCACTGTGGCTTGGTTGCTGATCGTTCTCCACTCTGCTAACTGCTAACATCATCAGCTGTAGGGAATAACCTGTAGCGACCTCGGGTGCTAGATTCCGAACTTGATCAGCTATGAAGGGCGTTTTTTTGCGGCTATTGTTTTTGCGGCTATAAATAAGTTAATATCATACTTTGAGATACTTTGAGCAAGTCATTGAGTGCCACACGAAATTGTTACATCGGAGTAAGACAACAACATGACAAAAGGTCCAAATAATAAACACACATGCTTTCCTACTGAAGAACTCTGCTGCAGTGAGGAAGCACTCATTTGTAACCAATGAGAGCTTGCAAATGCGGTCCGCCACAAGAAGCAGGTGCCACTGGTTTGTGTACATGTTGTCATCACCCTGGTGTCAAGAAAGTGTCCAAGTATGCACCTTTCAGGCTGTTAAGCCGGGTGAAAGACAGAAAAGACCAGAAGGACCAGAATCAGATATCACGTGCCCAGCAGCAGGCTTGGATAAGATTGGTCACATGAGGAATGAGATAGCATGGGATACAACCATCTCCCATTGGAAGCTCACAAACAGCAAATTGATAAATCGATATGAACCGATCATCAAGATGCGAATCTTTGTCTTAGGTTTGGGAGCTCCAGAAGGTTTCCCAGATCAGCGGCTTTGCTCAAGCGAGCACAGCGGCAAGCCGGCTTGCTCAAGGAGCTTTTGGCATGTTTGGTTATATACGTACTATATGACAAAATATGGCAGAGTCAGGCATATGGCGTGTCCAGCTTAAACATCGCGCCTTTTTGTTCGTAGTGTTTTGCTCAAACAGGGTTACACCGCGAAAGAGTCTATTGGAGAGCTGTCCATTCAATTCGGACAACTCCACATTGTCTTTCTAGCCCGCTGATTGATCTTTTTGACTCGTTCTTGGTTCCTTCCTTTCTTTGTTGTATTTTGTTTTTCATCTGGAACACCTAGTCAGTAACAATTAGTTTCTATTTCTTGAAGTGGAGGTGGCTGCAGGAGCGGCGAATCAAGAGGAGGGAGCCTCAGACATGCTGGTAAGGGCAATTGCTGCACCAGTTTCCAGCGGGCACCCAGCTCTGTTCAAGGTCCCAAGTGGGATGCACATGCGACCAGGCATCACCGAAACTGTCAGCGACCATCATCAAACCACTGCAAAGCAATTGCTGAATTTGCAAGGAAAGACAAGGCAAGAGAGCAGCTTTTTGCACAGACCTTGATGCGGGGAAGAAATGCCAGGCCGACGAGCAGCCTTCAACCTTGACAGCGGAGAAAGGTTTGTTTGGTTTCCCGATCAACGGCTCTATTTGGAGAGCTTGGTATTGTCTCAAGGTGGAGAACCTCAAGAGACAGGGATTCCAAGCGCAATGAGGTCCTGCCAGTACCTCCAGATCGCCCCTTGGCCTCCATGCACACGCAGTTCCGAAGGTGTGGCTTGAGATGCAGTATACAATTGATGAGTCCGAAGTTGAACGGAGTCACATGATAGATGCATGTGCTGGACAGGAGAAACATGCGTGAGAACATCATGATCTTCCGGGCAAGGTGCCAACTGGAGCCTCAAAACATAAAGCGCCGAAAGAATTCCTAGCCAACTTGGCATTTCCTGTGTTGCATGCAGGTGCGAAGATGACCTCACTCAGCAAGACTTGTTGGATGTGGAACTAGCCACATGCTCGATTTTTTAGCAGTTTCAATAAGTTAAATTTGATATTTCATGTCCTTTGAGGCCACAGCTGAATGTGAAGGCGCACTCTTGCCATGTGTATCTTGATAGTTTGATACTAGTTGCCTATGCATCTTTAGCATGTATAGATTTGTGGTTGACAAAGATCAGAGGATGTGCGGGAGATGGAGGTAGATTCATCCAGAAATCAAGATAGAATTGAAACAAGCATGGCAATCGGCTGCAGGTGAAATCCTACGACTTTGCCGCAAGGTGGGTTTTAAAATGACATCTATGTGAATCAAATAATATAATCAAGAAGAAATTGAATATCTTTGCGCTCAAACTCTAACCGAGGCAGAAAAACTATCGCCAAAAAAGAGTTATTGATCGACGAAGAATGTTCGATCAAATACTAAAATATATATACAACTTAGATCTATATATTTATTCTAAATTTTATGAATATATTAATTGATAACGATTATTCGATTTAGTAATATTGAAATATATATATATATATTTAGAAATATATGAACGGTATAAATAAATGTAAATATATATATTTAATAACACATTATGTATTTACATTAATACTTATTTTAATCTATTTTATATATTGTTTAAATTTATGAAACAATATATATATATATATATATATTCTCTAATGGCTATGCTATGGGGTTTTGCGAAACTATTAGGCGGACGGGCGCTGTCGGGTCATCATTAGAGTTGATGGGCGGATGGTATTTCGGTTATATTTTGATGGGTCTCGGTCGTGTTGTGAAGGTGTATCGGCTATGTTGTTGTGTCGGTATTTCGGTTATGTTGGGACGATGTCCGAGGATAATTCGGTTATGTTGTCACGGTGTTTCGTTATGTTATGATGGGGTTTCGGCGTTGATGCGCCGGTGCGCCGGTTATGTTGCGATGGTGTTTTGGTTGTGTTGTGACGGTGTTTCGATCATGTTGTGATATTGTTTCGGTTATGTTGTTGTTGCGGCGTTATTTCGATTATATTGTAATGGTATTTTAGTTATGTTGTGACGAAATGTCGGTCGTTCTGGGATGGTGGTTATGTTGTTGTGGCCGTGATTCGGTTATGTTGTGATGGTGTCGGTTATTTTGCGATGGTGTTTTGGTTGTGTTGTGATGGAATTCCGGTTATGTTGTGATGGCGTTTTGGATATGTTGGGATGGTATGTTATTTATATTTGGATGGTGTGTTGGTTATATTTTGATGTTATGATTATGTTGGGATAATATATTCGTTATTTTTGAATTCCGGGTGTTAATATATAATCGGATATTGATGCTATTAATATATATAATCGGAATAATATTACGATATAATCGATATATTATTAAGATATAATTGGGATATTATTATAATGTAATCGATTTATTAATTGATTGATATATTGTTATTATGGGATTGGGATATTACTAAATTATTTGTTGTTAGATTTTTTTTTAGGGGAATGATTATTTAAGTAAAATAATTATGTTTGAAAAGATATTCGATAAAAAAGACTCTACGATGGATTTGGTTTGCGCGTTTAGTAGTCGCAAGTGGTGTAGCTCCGTGAGAATTGTCGCCTGACGTAAGGGCGAAGGAAACGACTTGAAGGGTGAAAGATGGAGGGCAACTACCTGGGTGGTGGCTCATTTGATTGCTTAGTGTCTATTATTCGATGCCAATTAGGGTGGCATAGGAATTTTGATCTAGAAGAAAGTAACAATAAGTCTGACTAAGTTTCATAGAGATGGTGATGAATTAATTTTTTTAAAATATTGGATGATGGTGATTTGAATTAAATTAGGAATAAATTTATTGTAAAAAATAATTAAAATTTTATTGGAAATATTATAAATTATTTAACTAAATAAAATGAATTAGATTATTAGGTGGTTATGAATTAGAATTAATTATATATATTTTTTCGGCGAATTTTAGGATTATAAAGAAATAAAAAGAATTATATAATATGAAATATATTTTTAATATTTTTATTGCCTGATGATATGGGTTTTGATTATTTATTGGATTCTTTATTATATAAATGATGGGTATCGACTAAAAATTAATTAAAATATATTTAGGGGTTAGGGAAATTCGCCTCGCTTCTTTGACAAACCTGTTGTTGTTAGCGCGTTCTTAGCACCTACATAACATTAGGATTTAATTTCTTTAATCTTCTTAATTAAAGATATCGTAGCAGCTCCACCATAACATTAATACTTATATAGTCGCTAATGAATTTATAATTTTAACCACTAATGCGAATAATACCCTCGCGGGCAAGCCGGACCACAATCACATGCCACAAATATAAAACAACAAAAATAGTCAGGTTGGCCTATCGCATATATTAAACATTATTATCAAGAATCGTATATTAATCCGAAAACAAAGCCAGAAGTGCGCGCTATCGCACCAATAACGTAATCCACGTTTCATTTGTACGGTTATAATATATCTATTTTACGTTAAGATATACAAATGGCAATTTAATTAATAACTTACTAATTAATAAACATTAAAATCCTAATTTTTTTATTTATAAATGGCATTAATTTCTTAAATCCGGTCGCTTGCGGTAATTTTTAAAAAATAATCCGAAAAAATAGAATTTTTAAAAAATTAATCGAAGATTTATCTAAGATCGATTTATATTTATTCATACGATATCGATTTCCCTATATTAATGTATTTTCTAATTAAACAAATACCCACTAAAGCCCCCAATAATATAAGGATAATTTATTAAGTAACTAATAAATATTTTCGATTAAAATATGGTGGTTAATCAATATTCTTTCATCCTAGAGTGGCCATTCATCGCGGAAAAAAAAGATATCTTTCGCGGCCTCATCGCGAAGCACGACCCCCAATAGATGGTTAAACGTTTCCACAGCTACTCAGGATCACTTGCAGCATCTGTGCGACAATTGCAGCATCTGTGCGACAATTGTGCCAAATAGAGTCAGGCGCAACTCAACCCAATCCTCGTGTCAGCCACCAACACAGGGTAATGCAGCTTGGGGAATGTTAGGGGGCCCCAAGCTAAGAACCTAGACTTTAGCGGCACATTCGCGAAACTTTCACGGATCTTTCGCGAAATTTCACTCGTGCTTTGCCGAGAAGCCGTAAAATTTACAAACATCTACACAGCCCGTCAGAGCAGCTACAAATCGTTACCTCACTATCAGGGCTGTGCATACCCAAATTGCTAGTCTATGACAATAGGAATAAGAATCGGAGAATCCTTTACGCACTACCAGGGCTAGGCACGGAAATATTAAGGCTTCAATTTGTTAGTCTGTGCCACACAAGGATACTTCCGCCCACTAACTCTACCGAAAGATTGCCTTACGTTTCTATTCTTTATCAATTCGGTAGAAAAGAAAACAATGAAAGCGATAACCTTCGATAAATCTTTCGCGAGAAAAAAAAAAAAAATCGCGAACCTCATCGCGAATAATTCTAACAACATCTGCAAAGCTGTTCTATATAAAATTCCTTACACGGGGTTTTCGATCAATTCCCATATATTACACTTATAAATAGAATATTTTAAATCACACATAATTAATTTATATATAAAATTAATTTATATAAAATATAAATTTTAAATATATAATATTAAATTAGAGATTAATTATATTAAATTTATATAAATCTATATTAATAAAAAAATATATAAAATATTATAAGATCGAATACCACATATAAAAAATTTCGCGAAAAAAACGGTCGGCAAAAAAAAAAGGAAAGAATTAATAATTAATTAGAACATATCGTTTTAAAAATAGATGGAGATAATAATTATCGTACGATATTTAATTTCCGGATAATCGCATATCCATATATATATATAAAAATGCAAATAAATATATAATTAATTTCATCCAATTCTTTGCAAAATATTAAATATTAAGCCTAGCCTACAAATTACATCGACAAAATTACGACGACCAAACATCCCTAAAATAGAAGTTTTTTTCCAATTCTTCGAAAAATATTATATATCGCATCTATTATATAAATCATGAAAGCAAAATAACGACGATCGAATAATCCTAAAATACATATCGCACCTATCATCCAAATCATACCGACAAAATTACGACGATTAAACAACCCAATCTCTTAACTAATAACAATTAAAAAATGATAAATTATCAATACATAATTAATAATCGAATAAAAAATCAATTAATAATAAGAAATACAAAAAATATTATAATCGGATAATATCACATATAAACAACTTCGCGAGAAAAAACCGATCGAGAAGAAGGAAACGGAGAAAATAGTATTTTTTTAATTTAGAAATAGATAAAAATAACAATTGTCGACGCATTAATCGGTAATAATCAATTCGAAAAAAATAACACCCCCAAAAACAATATCCAAATCCTCAAAAAATAGTAAATAACACACCTACCACGCAAATCATATCGGCAAAAATGCGGCGACCAAACGACTCCATTCCCCCTCAAAAAGTATAAATATCGTATCTTCCCCACCAATTCCATCGGCAGAATTGCGCCGACCAAGCGACATTTAAAAATACATCCGATTCCTTATAAACTACCAAATATCTCGTCTGCCCCATAAAATATATTTAAAAAATTACGACGATCAAATACCCCCTAAAATCTATATTCAAGTCTTCAAATATATCAACCATCGCACCTATCATATAAATCGTGCCAATAAAAGTACGACGTCCATTCAATCCTAAAATATATATCCAATCCCTCGAAACCGCACCTACCTAAAACTACGACGTTTAAACAATCCCAAAACGCACTTCCAATTCCTTTAATTACTAGCAATAAATTCATTATTATTAACTATAATCAATTAATTAACAATTTATTAATTAACAATTATCGGAAAAAATAAATCAACAATAAATAACATTAAAAAAAATCGCAAATATTTAGTTAATTACAATTAATTAATATTAATTAAAGACCGAAAATAAGAAAAAATAAAACATCCGGAAAACACCAATAAAACTATAAATCCCACATATCGAAAACCATTACAAAATATTCGCATCAAAAAAAACATATATTGCCTTAAAAATCATATTTTTTTAATATACTCAAACCTACCCTAATTACTCTATAAATAGTTTATTTTAAATAAAATCCTAAGAAAATATCTTTATGGAACACCAACATTTTCGCTACAAAATGGTCGTTTCCAACGCGTAAATTGACCAAAATTATAGAAGAATTTAGTCTACATCATCACAATCTAACCGACACACCATCCCAATATGACCGGCGCCATGACCGATATACCATTCAAACATGACCGAGACATCATCACAACATGACCGGGACACCATCAGCAAGTTCATTAGCAAGGTCTGGCTCATCCCTCAAGGCAAGCTATTTCAGCAGCGGTTCATTAGCCAAGTCTGGCTCACCCCTCCCACAAGGCAAGTTGTTTCAGCAGCAGGTTCATTAGCCAGGTCCGGCTCACATGTTCCCCACACTTTTTCTATTTAGCCTGCCACATGCAGGCTCAATGTTGACATTTTTTGAATCAGCCTTGATGTTTGCAAGGTCTTCATCAATCAGGTGGTGCATGGTCACATCTTTCTCATTGCCTGTGAGGCTTAAGAGAACTATATATAGCCAACAACCATTTGCAAAGCAGTTCATGTGAACTCTGAAGGCACTTGTTGGCAAACATATTCACATCAAACGTTTTGCTCTTTCATCCAGCCTTCAAGCTGACTCAACTTGAGTTTTTCATTTTTTTGCATGTGGCCAAATCATGACCAGCAGCCTTGCAAAAGGCTTAAGAGGATCAATGAACTGAGAAGGCAAGCACCTCATGTCACAAAAGAAGCTTTGCATTAGGTATTGGCACATGTAGAAGAACATAGCATACCTGAAGACCACAATCCTAAACATATGAGGAAAGCTGCCCAACAAGATTTGGCACAGTGGGATGCCTATGGCCCTCTCCTTGTCACCAAACAGTTGGTGGGTGTTTCTGGACAATGTATACCTATGATGTTTGTCAATTTGTTGACACTCTTGCATGCTTGCTACAAGCAGGGCGGTTTTCCCCATGACTTGGTGCAGCGCACTGTAGCAAGAACAGGTGCACCTTCACCTCAGAAGCCTTGGTCCCTCTGTTTATATAGCGATGAATGCTGGCCAGCTAACCCCCTATCTCACAAAAGTGAGAAAAAGCTGTGGGTGAGCTACGCAACATTCAAAGAGTTTGGAAGTCAGTACGTGAGCAGCCAAAACAGCTGGCTACTTCTCATGGTGGCCAGATCATCTTTGGTGGCTGAAGTTGAAGGGAACATGGGTCAAATCATGAAAGAAATCTTGTTGGGTCTGTTCTGCTCTCGAAGGGCATCACCTTTGGATAATTGGTGTAGTCTTGCAGGGCCCCAGCACAAGTGACAGGCTGACTCTGTTTTCCAATTTGCAATATTCATTCAGGATGGGGCATCACAAAAGTTGACACTTGGTGTGAAAGGTGACAGTGGGACAAAGCACTGTATGAAACGCGCAAACCAAAACATTTGTTCAGCCACCTGGTGCAGAAGAAGCTTGTTGCGCTGCCAAGACCAAAGCTGAACTGATCTTGTGCAAAGACGAAGACATTTATGCTTCCTTGGACCGCCTCACAACTGAAAGTGCTCAATCTTTCAAACTGAGAGAGCAAGCCAGTGGTTGGACCTTTTCAACTGAAATGCTGCTGAACTGCCAGCAGCTTAGACCTCTTACCAAGCCTTGCGCATCCTTCATGCACGATTGGATGCATTGCCTGTGCCAAGGGGGTGATGAATGTGTGCCAGTAAAGGCTTTTTGAAGATGTCAAGAAGGCAGGCGTGGACAGCTGGTCAAGCATGGCAGGGTACAGTGGCCTGTTTACATTGCCAAAGCAATACAAGAACTGCAAGATGCCAGAAATTTTTGGCAAAAGGGAATCTTCTTCTAGAAAAGCAAAGAAATTTAAAGTTTCTGCCTCAGACATGCTGACAATTTACAATGTGTTGAGGCATTGGCCAATTTTCATTGGCATGCACTGGTGCAGAACTTCTTGTGAAGCATGGCTGGCCATGTGTGATGTCTTGGACCTCTTGCTGTGCACCATGTATGGCCACCCCATCAACCCAAACCAGCTTGATCGGTTTGTGGAAATTGCTCTCCAGAAGGGTGTTGAAGCTGGCTGGGAAACTTCTTACATCAAGAAGTTTCATTGGATGCTCCATTTGGAGACAGCTACAGGAACCATTCTACATTGATAGCAACCTGGGCCATGGAACGGAAACACAAAAGGATAACTTCAGTGGCCAATTGCTACACAAATCTCAGCAGGTATGAGCAGGCACAAAACTTGGCAACTGCTGGTTTGGTAACATTTGGCAAGGCAACCAAAGCTTTCATTGCCTTTGTTCGAGTCACATTCTCTGATGTGGAAAGAAAGATACTCACACTTGTTCCATCATATATTTGGAAACTGGTGGGCAAGCGAGCTCTGGTGATGTTATTTTGATTGCCTCAAATCTCAAATTGGATTGTGGTATGCTTTACACATGCTTTTCAGTTGGCCAAGACAGTTTTTGCTTGGTTGGCTTGCATGGGCTGTTGGAATACAATGTGGACCAATGCTCTGCAAAATGGACAAGCACTGAAGACTTGCGCGTCATTCCCGCTTCCCATGTTCCGACTGCTGTGACGTACAGCACGAGCAGGGATGGGATCCTGACTCTGATCCCACCTCACCAGCAGCTACGGTGGAAAACTGTGCTGTGTCTGTGGGTTCAACCACAACACACGCTAGCCAAGTGTCTCATTCACTTTGATATTTCTAACTTTTTGTAATTTTCCTAACTCCAGCTTAATTATCTTAATTATGTCAACTACTTGGTAACACACCGGCCCATAGAAGAAGAGACCCTATATGTCAGGCAAGGCTGGCATAGATTAAAAGGCTCAATTTAGAACAGCCACGGCTGCTGCAGCAACAACAACAAGAAGAATAACAACAATATACGACAACTACTACTAACACTACCACTACCACTATATACACCACGACGACTACTACTACGACGACTACGACCACTCCTAGACACTACGACGACGCCATTATTTTTTGCCGCTGCTGCAACTTGGCCGAGCTTGTGCCACACACTCTACCCTCATGTACCAACACGTGCCCTCACACCGCGAAATCTACTCCAGCTGCTGCACTGTTTCCCCTTACCCTTCCATACTATTCCCAGACGCGGGTCTTTGCGTGGAGCGTGCTCTTTGCGTGGAACTGTTTGGCCGGGCGAAGTCGCACCGACATATCTCCTCAATTGCGCAGTCCTTCAAGAGGTTGCGGGCGCAGCAGGTTTTCTCTGCTCACGCGACATTTGTGTTTCATTGCTGGCCATATCAACGCGCCGCCAACAACCAACGGGCACAGGATCACAGAATTGCCGGGAACAAAAAACACCTTGACGGTGTTGCAGGGAACAAAAAACACCTTGGCGGCCGCAAAACAAACCTTTACTAGCGGCAACAGAAAACACCTGTGGGCTCAGAAAACACCATTCCGGGAAAGGGAAACACCATGGGAAGAAAACACGCCAAAATGGGAACAAAAAACACTATACCCGTACAATATAGATTTGAAAAATATAAGCTTCTTTTTAAGAGCGGGTATGCTTGGGAGAGCACACACTAGCTCAAAACCTTTAGAAAACGCTGTAGCAAATACCGTGCAAAATTTTATACCGTGCAAAATTTCAGAAATTGCTCTGGGACCGAGGCGAGAAGCATCTTTTTCAACCTTCCTGTGCCCAGTCTGGATGTGCAATGTCAATTACAACAATTAACAGCTCTTCGTCTGCCGACTATCAATGTAAAACACCAATGACAAGGCCATGAATATAGCATCATGAGCGAATATAAACATATTATTAGGTACTATATACATATATACATCAAGATGACCAAGTATATCAATGATATTGCTTTAGTCTCTTGCTTCTGGTTTCTCATACTGCAATGTTCTTTATGTGTCCATTTTGTGAAAAATCTCCCAAGAGCACCCGTATTGTTAATAAATAGGGCCCCCCTCCCCTTTCCCTTTGAGCTTGAATAAAAGTCATTCCAGATTCTAAGAAACGAGTTTAAGAAGTAAATGAAGTGAATCTTTACTTAGGACAAATTCCTGAATTAAGAGCAAAAGAATCTAAGAAAAGACTTTAATAAGGACATGAAAAGAATCTTTTATAAACACAGACAGGAAATTCTAGGAAAGGAGTTTAATAAGGAAAGGAAAAATCTTTATATACTTAGAACAGAAAGGGAATTCAAAAAAAACATAATAAGGAAATGAATCATTCTTTACTTAGATTCTTGGAACAGGCAACAGAAAGGGAATTCTAAGAAAGGCGTGTAATAAGGACATGAAACCAGTCTTCACTTAGATTCTTGGAACAGGCAACAAACATGTTTAGCTTTATTTAGGGTGCGCTTTATTTAGGGTGCGGGTATGGTGGCTTCATGACGGGTAGCCTTTCAATCGTCATTTTGATGAAATTTCAAGTTGCTTTTAGATACGGGTTTTACAAAGAAACTTGTGTCGGAAGCACAGTGCAGTGGCGCCAGTACTCGGCAAGGGCCGTTGGACACATCCTGAAATCTATGCATCCGTGTCAAAAATGCAAAATATAAAAGACTGTGCAACTTATCACAGATGCCTGCTGCGCGACAAAGTTTATGAGAAAACAAAAAACAAAAAGACAAACTCCTATAGTACCCTCATTTTGTCTCAAACATTGTTTTGTTTTTATGTTTTTTTTATTTTGGTTTTTGGTTTTGTAGTAGTCCCTCAAAACTGTTATAGGCCTGACCATCACAAAATTGATCTAACAATAGCCGAAAACCCAGGTCTTGGTGATGTTTTAGCAAAAATCATTGTAAAACACAATGTGTCCACTCTAAACTGTTATAGGCCTGGTCCTCACAAAATCGATCTAAAAATAGCTGAAAACCCATGTTTTGGTGATGTTTTAGTCAAAAATCAATGTAAAACACAGTGTCTTTGATCACTTCTTGCACAAAACATCTCCCAGGAGCACCCGTTCTGTTCTTTTTGGGTGGCCGCCCCCCAAGGAAAGCTGGAAGCTAGCCTTCCTGGAGTCAAGTCAAGTCCGTCTCCAACAAGAATGCTCGGCGCCCTTAGCACCGGATACCTAAAAGTCTAAGAGCCTAGGAGAGCATACTATCCTGCATCAAACAATGTTATGATCACAGCTACTCAGCGCTCACACCTGCAAAGAGCTGCTGGGCATCATCCTTTGGCAGTATTGCAGGAATCAGATGTTGGACTTAATGTCCTCTGGTTTCACACGGATGGTAGTCTTCAGGGTTGGATCTGGCAATCCATCAGCTTCTACATGTATGCAAACCCAAATCTTGTTCTCAAATTCTTTGTGGTCATGACATTACCCACCTTGATGCCCATGGCAATCACAATGTTAAGCATAGACTTCCCTGCGTCCTGCAATGCCACCATGGGCCCTCGGCTTTGGTGCTTTCCTTTGGGATGCAAGGAAATGATACTATAACACCAGCTTTCCCAAGCCCTTCTCAAACATTCACTTCAACCATTGTGTGTTTGTTTGCTTCATTCTCATGCTTGCCCTTTGAGAAAGGACAACGATCTTTGCAGAAGGGCTAGGAAGCCACCACTGCAACCCTGAGGAAAGAAAGCAGCAACCATTGGTGGAGTTGGGTTTCAGCCAAGGCGTGCAAGAACTCTTGGCCCGAGATCAAAAAGGATGAGAAGCACCTCTCAAAGCACGCCGAGGATTCAACAAACTCACCGTCGCATGTGCAAGAGACCAATATTGAACCCATAAATCACAAGGAGTGGGCGAGTGTGTTTATTGATGGTATAAAACATGGGAGAGTGTGGTGTCTTCCAAAAATCCGTTCAACTATATAGCCATTGGGCGTGACCTTTGCAGAGCCTGAAACCATTGTGTTAACGCAAGAGTACTGTCTAGGTTTCCTAGGTCCATGCAAACCTGAACAGGACCTGACCATCTTTGCAATCAAGGTTGCGTACTTCTTCATGACATTTCAGGTTCCTGCTTCTGAAAGATCCTATACAAAAAGTAGTAGGCTAGTGACCGTTCTTGATCGAGAGGCTAAACTAAAGTCATACTTTGCTCCCCACCCTGCCCACCACCAAAGATTCAACAACATGTAATTGTTTAAAACAGTTCAAAACATCGTAAAAATAGGGCCTCCACAGCGTGCCACTCTATACTAATAGTTTCTCAATGATTAAACTTTTTATAACTACATATATACATGATATTTCATCAAAATCGCATATTATGTTTCAAATCTTACATATTTTTTACATTAATTTTAGACTAACATTATTTTTGATGAACTACTTTTCATTCCTGATAATTTGCGTTGCACTATATATATATATTTCAATGTACATAATCACGATCCGCTACAACCAACAAATCCAACAAGTTATACATTTGTATATTGTTGTTTTATTCGTGCCAGCAAACACAACTCATGTTCTATCATCCAAGGTGGGCATTCAGGCTGGGATACAATTGTAATACTATACTGTTGTTCTGAGGCAGGGTCAAAAATAAGTTGGCACCGGGAGATTCCCAAGGCAAAACTAGCGCTTTCTAGTGAACTTGCTCTCAAGGGTCTTGGCATGAGCAATAGTACATCGCAACAATGACACCCAACTCCATTGTAAAGATAAAAAAACATTGGGCCAGCCCTTCTTCATCCCCTCTTGTAAACACATGTTCCTTACTGCTTCACCCTCACCCAAAAATGTATTGGATATTATTGGATAACATCAGCAGTTGGGCTTCATGGGCATGAGAGTTTGGCTTCAAGTGGCTAGGGCAGTAGCACCCGACCCGGCTGAGATACCAACGTAAGTTGACCTTGGTCTTGGTGGTGCAGGGACCAACTCCTGCCAAACAAACATGATAAGCCTGCAGCCTGCTCTAAATTTCTTGGGCTGACTAGGAAGAGCCTGCAGCCTGCTTGGCAGTCTTGTCTAAATGCTCCTGAAAACGCTTGAAGTCCACAATTAAGCTCCCATCGTCTTTGCCTGAATGCTGAGGACAGTACATTCAATCAATCGCCTTTCTACGTTTTGGAAACACGAATCTGCCAGCAACCGCCTCTCGCTGCAAAAGAACCAATAACATTTGCCGGCAGTGCGAAAAACACAGGGAGCAAAGGAGCAATTAAACACCACATCCTGCAAAAAAGACTTTCCATATGCTCTTGCGAGACTCTTGTGTTCAAATCAATGTGGACGCTCCTCGGCTGAATGAAGGTATGAGTGACGTCCCTGTGTGCAGGCCGCTGTGATTGGCTCAAAGCCCTCCACCAAAACCACGATCTGCGTGCACGCCAGTGGAATTAGACAGCGTCAAACATGACACCTGGTTCTTTGCACAAGCGAACAAGCTGTGAGCCTGTGACGTGCAGTGAATCAAACCAGCCTCTATGTTATGTCTGTCAAGGTGCTCCTGGCAGGAACTCCTCTATTGACTATTGAAGTATCTCTTCGCTTCTCAAGACTCAGTCTGTTGTTGTGCTACTTAGCTGTGTCAGGTCCTCAATGCTGTTCCTGGTAAGCGGCCTTCCTTTTTCGGAGCAGGATGGACCTCCTGCCGCGCGAGCTGGATGAATGCAAGTGCAAGACTTGGGGAACAAGCTCATACATACTCAACAGTGAGTGAGACAATGAATGCGAAAGCAGCCTGGATCAAGCATCTGCTTTGCCTGGCAACAGCATTGATGACGTCTATCCAGAAAATTCACTAATGCTGGGCCATTCAACAAATCGGCACCTCCGGGTGCAAAGGGCTATGATGGTCAATCTCATGGATGATCAAGTTGGGTACAACCAAGTGCAGGTAACCTGGGCAATGCCATGATCCACCATAATCGAAAACTCAGGAACCAGAATCTACGAAAGGTGTCTGGCCAAAAAAGGGCGCGTAATAATAACTCCACGAAAACAATACCGCACAAATACAAACAATCACATGCCAATATGTGTGCCACAAATGCATGTGTCGCATGAAAGAGGAGTTCGCAGGCTTCGAGGATAAGCCCAAAGCAGTCTGTCTGATCGTCAGGTTGGATCAGCCGCATTCGCGTGTTCTCGAAATTGCTCAGGGCACCTTCTGAAACGGCCGGCGCAAACGCAACAAAAAACTTTGTCTGGCATCTGCCGCATCCTCCTAGGTGTCGTTGCAAGAGTCACGCATTTAACCACGCTGGCTTTCTTTTCAGCATCAATCGTTGGATGCTGCACGATCTGGGTACCGGGTACATAAGCAAAACAATTTGCAAACATGCACAAACGGATCCTCCGCACTTCTGATGGGCAAACAGCTCCTCTCCTGGAGGCTTTGGCCACTGAATCATAGCTGTTCGAACACGGTCTGAGTCCAATGGATTCTGTTTCATGGACTCGCCCACGCCAAAGCTCCTATTCTGCGGCCTACTGACCATTGTGGTTTTCAGGTGCTGACTGAAAACAGTTGCTTTGATAAAAATAATCGGTGAAACGTGCACTTTCATTCGTGTTCCCTCTTTAGATTCTTTATCTTCCCTCGTCAGCCGGCACCCTTGGAATGCCAAATGCATTCCATTCCATTCAACGTTTGGATTCCCTGTGCACATAGCATCAGGATATGCAACCTGTTTCAATCAAGCATCACTTGGCTCTCCAAAGGCAGCTTAACTCCCGTATTGTGTTGGAAAAGTATCTTCAAATTGCTGGAGCCGCAAAGAGCCAATATCCGACCTCGGGAAAACGCAAGCCTGCTTGCCAGTCTCAAAGCGGTAGGGATCCCAAGGGCCCTGCACCACCACCCGTAGCAGCAATTTTCGCTCTGCAGCAATGCCAGCGCTGGCAATTTCCTGCGAAGTTGCAACCCATTGCGCAACAGTCAAAAATATATATATAATTAAATTGAGTAATTCGCACCTCTTTTTCTGTTCGCTCTGCAGCTAGATTGTCAGGAATATAACAAAACTTGGGAACGAAAAATGAACGAGTTGATAACCCCCCCCTTCCCAGTCCACATCACGAGGAAGGGGGCGTATCCGGATAATCGTCCCCCCCTGACCAGGTGGGCCACACCCCAAACCCTGGCCAGGCCCCAAGGGGCACCAGCTGTTTTTCTCATCTCTTTGCTGGTTTAGTGGAAGTGCGCTTCTTTCCTTCCAACTCGTTAAGGGTGGGAGAGGAGGGTCAAGCCGAAGCACTACAGAACAAACAATTAATAAGGTGGATTACTCTTTACTCCCGGGGGCGGGAAACCAAAGAGTAATTCGCACCGCTTTTTCTGGTCGCTCTGCAGCTAGATTGTCGGAATTATAACAAAACTTGGGAACGAAAAATGATCTCCCAAACAAAAACGAATTGATTATCTCCCCCCTTCCCGGTCCACAACACGAGGAAGGGGGCATATCCGGATAATCGTCCCCCCCTGACCAGGTGGGCCACATCCCAAACCCTGGCCAGGCCCCAAGGGACACCAGCTGTTTTTCTCATCTCTTCGCTGGTTTAGTGGAAGTGCGTTTCTTTCCACGTCCCCCCAGACCTTGTTTGCGTCAGGTCGGCCTGTTGCTTTGCAACGGCTCAAGTGTTTCAAATTGTCTGCAGGGTCTGAATTCTGAAAAAAGGTCCGAAATGGCGCCAAACGCTGTTCGAGAGGTACCAATTTCATTTCGGCCAAAATGGCTCGGGACTCGTTGAGGTACAAACGTGCGGTTTTCTGGGCTTGCCAACGCCCCAAAATCATCACTCGGTCAAGGTTGCCATGTTGGCAGAACGACCATGTGACATGTGGCCCCACCACGTCTCAAAGAGTAGGGTCTCAGTTCAAGGGGGGGTCGAATTGCAGGCTTTCAACGCAAGTTTTAGACAATTTACACCACCGTGCAGGCGTGGGACAAAGCTTTTGGTGGGGTGACGCCAACAACACCCACTGCTGTACGAACCGGAAGGCAGTATCGTGACCTACTGACACACTCTCCTGCCACCTGCTCGTTTCCCAGCTTTGGTGAGGCCTAAAGCGATAACTGCAGTCCGCAGTTTTTTGGAAACCTCCCCTTTATTGCGGACCACATCCAAAAGTTCACCGGTGCGTAAAATGCAATAAAAGCATAAGAGCAAACGGGTTGCGAAAGCGAAATGACCATGATACAAACTCCATCCGACCATACACTACGCAAGACAATTCAGGCACAGGCGGGGCACGACTGGGCAATTCATGGGTGAGCCACGTCTTTACCAATCTCCATGCACCCGGGAGGTGTCCCCGAATCTTTGCGTCATGGCCCTGCAAGGATGCCAGGGTATCGGCGGCCAGTCCCCGCCCTTCCCCGGAGAGCCATAGATGCTCGATGTATTCCATGACCAAAGGGTCCAAATGCTCTCGTCGATTGGGCAAGTGCAGGCCTTCGGCCTTGAGAAAACTCAAAAAGCGGTTGAGTGCTTTGTCGTACCGGACTCAACGGGTGTTGCGCTTTTCCAATTATATCTAATATTATAAGTAGAACTTAACCACTAATTAACTGCACTTATTAACTGAACTTATCGTGTTTATAAGTTCCCCACGTTGCCCTGTTTTGTAATTCTAGACAATCACCACATTTTTTTTCCGGGGGGGTGGTCGTTTTTGATTTTTTGGTGGGCCGTTTGTTCCGCGCACAGGTTTTGCAGAAAACTCCGACGCGTGAGGCTCGCCCATGCCAAAAATCTGTCGGTAAATCGGGGTTCCATTTTTGTCTGAGAAGTTGTACCCAAAAAGAGGGAGCCAGTTTGACGAGGCCACGCGCGCGCGCGCTGAGGAGATATACTTTTTCACCGCGAGATTCGCACATCAGACCTTCAGGCAAAACAGGTGTGGCGAGGGAGGCACACCACACGGTAACCGGGCGAGCCTCGGATGTCCATCTGGCCTTTGTGGATTCACAAAGGGATTTCTGCAAGCAGAGCTTGAAAGGTTTGAAGCATTTTGCTTCCAAAGGTTACGCGACCATAGCTTCGATTCCAATTTTTTTACATAGAAGCCATGGAAGCCACCCTTCATTCCAAAGGATCAACATCCTTGATTCCAGGGATCACTGCAGCGGCAGCTCTAGGGTTTCTGTCTGCACTTCCTCATGCCCAAACTCGATTTCCATTTGGTGTTCCTGAGTGGCTGGCACGTGAAATTGGAAAGAAATTCCTATACGGAAAATGCTATGAGAAAAGTTTCCAAAGCTTCAGGTCAAGATTCTGCAAACCTCAAAATAGCATACCAACCTTCGGCCATGAGCTTGTTGTAGGTCGCGTCTTTCCAAAGGTCCCGTTGAGCGGAAGCTGTCCCCAAGGCCATGTGCATGGCTTTAGCAAACTGAAAGAGGTTTTCCCCCACAGCTTTCCGTGCAGGGTCTGGATCTTCATGCAACAGGCAATATACACACTCCATCAAGCGTCCAACTTTTGCTGGATTGGTGCAGTGCTCGAACTGTGGTAGGAGGCACCGTAAACAAAGCTTCTGCGTCCAATTCGTGAAAGGCATGCGGCCTTTGAGTGAGTGCCACCGCTCATGGATAACCTCGAGTTCATCATTGGTCTTCCCATTTTTCCTGCCAGTGTTGGTGTGATGAACTGGAAAAAATGAAATGCCAAAAACACTTCTTCTGTTTTGAAAAGCACATTTTTATAGCCGCCGTGGCTCAGCTCATCGATGAACTCATAGAGCCACACGCGATGAGGAAGCAAGTCGGTGAAGATGTACTGCACCTTGCCAAACAAAGCTGCAGATGAACATTTTGTCAACAAGAATGTGGCCGCACCATGGCCATGTGAACTTCTGCGCGTTCACCACACACCACCACCTTTTTTTCCACGCGCGTGTCCCCAGGCGTGTTTCTTGGCGCAGGGCGAGCCTCTGCCTTCTAAGCGGAGACATGCTCCAGTAGGTTTGCCCAGGCCGCTGTCGGCTCAGATGCTTTCCATGAGAATCTTTCTTCTCGCCATCTCGTTTTGCCCTGAAATTGAACGATTTCGGGCACACATAGATGGTGAACCCACTATGGTGAATGGGTTTCTGAGCTTTGGTGCCTGGGAAAGGCAAAGTGCACTCACCGCTGGTTGGCTTGGGGCTGGTCGTTGGCTTTTTGCTCTTGGCCTTTGCGGCCTTCTTCGTGGTCTTCTTGGCCACTTTGGCCTTCTGTGTGGAAGCTTCAGGCTCCTGACTGTCAGCAAGGCGCTTGCCGGAACCCTTGTTGCGTTGGAGCTGTGCCCTCACAGAAGCGGCCATGGCGTCCACCGTTTTGGGCGGTGTGACTTCCACAGGTATGGTCTCCTTGACTTGTGGAGTGTCCTCCAATTTTGGTTTGGCAGGCTCTGGGCTTGGACTTGGAGCTGGGCTAGCCTCGACTTCTGCTGGTCCATTCATGATGGCCAAGGGCTGCTTCCTTTTGTTGGTAAGATAGGTCAAACCAAGCTGTTTTTGAAGCGCCTGGCCGGCCAACATCTGCTCCAACATACTCAGAACCTGCGACCCCACATTGCCAGTGCAAGTGGGAGAAGGAGCATGCCGAGTGCCTCGAACCACCGTCCTTGTATTCCGGGCTGGTAGGTCAGCGGCCAAGGCCTTCAAGGCCCATTCATCCAAAGGATTTTTCACAGGTACCTGGCCAGCGGGGTAAGCAGCCTTGAAAAGAGCTTCTGGGAGTTCTTGGGGACAAGGAGGGTACAGCAAGAGTTCACTCCTCTTGCGGCTCTTCGAGCAATTCTTCACTGCAGACTTGAAGTCCTGAAGCATATGGTATACCTTCATCCCATCAACTGTGAGATTCTCTGGCGCACCTTGGTGGGAAGCCAGCAACAGGAGTGATATCGCCAAAGCACTTGTGAGCTCTGAAGTAAGGCCCAACGCCACAAAGCGCTTGCAAAGAGCCAAGATCTTGACATTGCAGCCCTGCTTTCCTTGAAGAATCTCCCACTCCTCTGCAGCGAGGTAGTGTTGCAAATGCAAATTTTCCTGCAAGGCGTTGTGGGCAACTTTCTTCACAGGGCCTGAGCCGTTCACACTTCCATTTGCAACCTTTTGTTGCACACATTCGACAATGCCATCCTTCATCCACACAGGAATTTCAGCTGCTTGGACATCCCGGAGTATGCTGGTGGCATCTGGCATTGATAGATTCAAATCCTTGAGATCTACCAGGCAGCTCTCCAAAATCTTTCTGTGGGCCTCCTGAAAGGAACTGCTACCATCGGCTGCTACAGCTTTCAAAGTGGCCAAGAAAGCCAGCATGTCTTTCATTCGCTGGGCTGCCATGAGTGAGGGCCTCAAGACTTCAAGGGGTAACCTCTTGAGCGCAAACCAGGCGAGCCTTGGTTGGGTGAAGTGTGAGCCACAGAATTGAGGATGTGCAACATTGAGGATGTGCGAACTGTCGAAGTCAAATGGTTCAAGACTATATAGTGAAGCCACCCTGACCATGGAAAAACTGGTGGAAAAGGTTCTGGGATCAAAGTTGGGACCCTATAGAACCCTACGTTGACTGAACCGAATACTGCCCAGCACAGCACTCAAGACCTTTTTCACGACAGAAAGTCTGGCTACGCAGTTTGGAAATGTATCGAGGCGAGCCTCCAAAACTCCATGAGCAAATCCTTGGGCTGAAGATCCTCAGTTCACGAGGAAGACGATGACAAAAACCGGTACTTGTAGTACTGGCGGCGCTGAATCGGTGTTTTCTTCTTGGGCGCTTTCTTCACCGTTTTGCTGCTTCCTTTGGCTGGTTTCTTCTTTGGCGCTTTCTTGGCGGCCTTGGCTTTGGCCGCTGGTCGTTTCATGGCCTTTGTCTGGGGCGAGCCTCCAGAACATCCTTGAGAGCGCTCGTCCATGTACACCTCGAAGTTGTGGCAGGCGTCAGCCACTGCTTGGTCCAGCAAGGATCCCACCACCTTCGTTTTCTGGGGGATCCCCCCTGCCAACTGGTGAAGGACGCCATGCAGAACTGCCATCATGAGCGGAACAGGGTAAGCATTACCGCTGGCCTTCACCCTCAAGGTATCGCTGGACCCTTCCAGAACACTGGGCGAAAACCCTTGCAGAACCATCCTCTCCGAAGGGTGCAGAAACCTCAGGAACTTCCGTTGGCCATTTGGACGGGAGAAGTCCAGCGAAACCACAAACAAGTACGTGTTGTTTGTGGTCAAAGTAGGGACCAAATTGGTGGTGTAGCTCCTCTTGTACGCCTTTCCATCTGCGCGGTCGAGAGGGAAGACGACCAGGTCTGCTGCGTCCAAGTGGCCATCTTGAAGCATTGCCTTCAAATGAGCCTGTGCATCTTTGAGGTTTTTTCGCATGACCTCAGTCAATGTCTCCAACTTGCAGTTGGGCAAATCTGGGCTGAGGAACTCCTGGAGTTGGCGGCTGCCAAAGGGAGTCAGTGGAGCTGACCGGGAAGTCACTCTTCCGAACACCTCGTAGGAACACCCTGGTTCTCTGCTGGGCAAGCAAGTATGAAGAAGCCTGCAAGGTGTGAACTCCCCACTGGAACTCAGCACACTCCTGTCGGAGGATGTGCAAGATTTGGTCCATGAAGGAACAGGTGGAACCCTTGATTTTGGCCAAGATTCCTTTGACGTTCTCTATGCAGCAGGCATGCAAATCCCCGACCTTGATTAAGGCAATGCAAACCTTCATCACAACGATGAACACATCAGCTCGGTGGTCATGCTGGCCCTTGTGATTTCCTTGGCCTGCCCAGGGTGGACATGGTGGTCCACTCACAAGCAAGTCGACAGGCCTCTCGACATCAGAGAGTTGAAGCTGACAAAGGTCGCCATCCTTCTTGCCCAGGTGCAACTGCACATTTCCACCTAGGTGCTGTGTGAGGTAGGCCTGGTACCGGTGCTCTAAGTCATAGACATTGTTTGCCTGATACCTGACGCCAAGCGCGTCCAAGGCAGTGCCGCACCCATCGATGCCAATGCATGGAGTTGCGACATACAAGGGCCGTTTAAACGCTGGAAGGGCCGGACACAAGCCCTCCCATGCGTTTGGATCCAAAGTGGTCCTGATAATCCTCTTTGGTGCCATTGTTGGGCGAGCCTCAACTACAAATGGCTTGGTCCAAAGCAGCTACAGGCTGTCGGAGTCGGGGTGAAAAATTTGTTTCAAACTTTGTTTCAAACCACAGCAAACAAAATTGTAATGGTGGGCCCCTTTTTTGATGATGTTTAACTACCAAGTAGTTTATGAACCCAAATACCCTGTATGGCTCAATTGGGTGTTGTGAAGCACTTGCTTCAGTGCTCCTGTGGGCATGCAAGGCAGCCTTTATAGTACCACCAAAGGTGAAATGAAACCAAAACAAAGGCCCTCTTCGGCAGAATGTTCATGGCTGAGGCTCGCCCAGCAACCATGAAGTGTGGAGGCTCGCCCTAAAAGACTTGAGACCTAAATCACATCTCAAGAATATAAACAAAGGCCCTCTTCGGCAGAATGTTCATGGCTGAGGCTCGCCCAGCAACCATGAAGTGTGGAGGCTCGCCCTAAAAGACTTGAGACCTAATATTATATCACATCTCAAGAATATATATATATATATAGAATATTAAGGTGCATTAGGTAACACATAGAATAATTTTTAGAAGCCAACAGATAGAATTGTTCAGTTTTTTGAAGCCAGCAGATAAAATATTCAGCATACCTCAGATTCACTGCGCTACCTTTTCCCACCCATGACATGTGTTTCTTCAACTTCTCATCCAAACCTATCCAACCAATATTCTAAGTGTTTCCCCAAAAAGATATAGAATAATGACCTAATGCCCCGGGGGCATTAGGTAATATTCTAAGTGACTGCAGGCCACTATACTACAACCAACACCCAAATTAAAAAACACAACTGATTGATCTGATTGATGATAATGGAGGTATTCAATGAGGCAAAGAAACATACCGTGTTGTTCATGACTAGTTGGAAGTCTAGTGGGGAGAAACTTCATCTATAGATCGTGGAGATAAAACAGTGACCAACCGTCTTATAACACTGATCGTCCCTGATAGTTTCCTGATACCCCCTGATACACTGATTGTCCCTGATAGTTGTCCGATACCCCTGATACCCCCCTGATACGCCATATTATTATTAATAATAACAATGCATTTGTTTGATGACGAGTTCATTGTAATTCAGTATTTGTAACAAAGATGTTCTATAATAATAACAATGCATTTGTTTGATGACGAGTTCATTGTAATTCAGTATTTGTAACAAAGATGTTCTATAATAATAACAATGCATTTGTTTGATGACGAGTTCATTGTAATTCGGTATTTGTAACAAAGATGTTCTATAATAATAACAATGCATTTGTTTGATGACGAGGTCATTGTAATTCAGTATTTGTATCAAAGATGTTCTATTTCGCTCAAAAGCATTCTTATCTTCGTACTGGGGATGAGTTATTTCCAAAGAGATGATGAACAAGTCTTTCTTCATAAGACACATTTGATTGGTCACGCATTCCTTTTCCCACCGCGCAGCTCCCAGTTGTGATCAAAATGTGGCTGTTGCTTGGCAAACCACAGCATGGCGCATGTGTGATTTAGATGGGCGAGCCTCATCTAATCACTTGAACTTGGAAGCCTGTTCCAACTGCTTTTTCACCCTGGCCAAACAATCACTCAACTCATTGAGTGTAGCATCCAGGGTCTCAATGTGGTGGCTGGAATCCCCTTTGCCAGAGTCAAGGCAAGTCTGGGCGTTCTGGATTGCGACTTGGGACTTGTCTTTGGCATCCGACGCCGCCTTGATGACGTATGGTGGGATCATATCTCCAAATGAGGAGCACTTTTCCAAGGTGTCCTTCATTTGCAGGACCTTGGAAGAAACTTGCTCAGCCTTCTTTGCGACCTTTTTCTTTTCTCCCGCTTTGAGCTTGGGCTCGTCGGCAGGTTCACCATCCTTGCCATTCTTGTCGGCCTTCTTTGGTCTCTTTGGAGCTTTGGCATCCGTGGTGTCATGCAGAACCGCTTGGCCCTTCCTTTTCTCTGAATGCCCAAGTTCATGTTGGTCAGACACCTTGGCCTGGTACTTTGGGTCGGCGTATAGGATCACCTTCTTGATTGGACAAAAGAAGGAACGGCTGTTCTTCAGGATGTTCTCGGCGATCTCGGGCTTGTCAGCATATTTTGCCCTGAGGTCACTTTCCTCAACAAAATCGGCTTCTTGGTTGAACTCATACCGGGTGATGCTGATCTTCCAATCCTGAACAATTTCCTCCAATCTCTTGCGGAGATCCTCTCCCCTGAGGTGCGGGTTCTCCCGGTAGAAGCTGGAGATTCTGTCTCCATCCGCAGAAGTGAAATCCTTGACAAGATTTCCATGGTTGCGCTTCAGCCTTTCAATGGCGCTGCGCATGCTGTGGCAAACCCGGCAACGGCGGATCTCATTCGAAGACTTGAGGCCAGCCCGAACAATGACCAAAGAATTGTCCTTGTCAATGGGCTTGTGGCAAGTGCAGCACTGGCTCGTTGTGACTTCCTCCTCGGTCAAGAGGGCTGCGTCGCCCAGACTTTCCACCACGCTGGCAGCCGACTCGGGGGTTTGGGGCACGCTCGCCTGTGAAGTCATGTTTTCAAAGAGGCGAGCCTTCAAACTCAGCAGAAAAAGTTTCCAAGCTTCCTTTCCTGGCTTGACATAGTGGTAAATGGCCACAGTCATGCGTGATCAACTTGGGAAAGTGAATTGGAATGGGGAACTGTTGGATCACGAAAATGAAGACGTTCTTTCTACAAAACTGAAAGTGTGAGAAGGATGCGAACACACGATGTGATTACTTACAGGGTTTTAAGAGCCCTTGGTTGAAAAAGACTGTGACTTCGCACGCCCACACATGCTAACTTTTCCAAACCAGCCAGGATCAGGCACCACGGTCAAAGTTTTCTTGGGCGAGCCTCAGGATTTCAGCTGGTCTCAGGCAGGCTTGAATGGAGTCGCAAGACCGTTTGGTATATACTATGGGCCTCAAGCGGTCACACCATTCCATCAGAAAGTCTTGGCTCGCAGGATGGAACAAGGAACCCTCTTTCCACAGGTGGACTGAGACCTGCAAGATGAACTTTCGCTCACCTGTAATGAGAAACGCTTCCAAGAAAGCTGCGCAAACAATGAGGGCACTAAGCTCCGCAGCAAACAAAACATCTCCTAGAGAGAGCTGTCCAATTGGTGTAATCAACGTTCTGCCAGTGCACACTGACATCACATCATGTTGCCCCATGCCGAGACTAAGCAAGTGAGCCCCGTCTGGGATTTGGCGAGTAGGGCCTTGCAAAAAAAAGGTTCGACCAAATTTTGGTTGCCTTTGAAATCTTGCAAGACATCATGGCCCATTCGAAGAGTCACGTGGTCACAAAGGGTGTCGTTGAAAACATGAGCTGCCAATGTTTTGACAGCTCTGTGTTTCCGCTCTGGGCCAAAACAAGAAAGGTTTTTCTCAAACTTGAGCAGCAAGTTGGGGAGATGCATCAAGTAGTGGCCCCTTGGTTTGCAACAAGCTGGATAGAGCCTCTTGTAGCAAACAGCATGTTGGTCAACGGTTGCTTGCAATTCATCAATGAGGTTAAGCGCCTCATCTTGCTGTGACAAGATGTCTATCGCATCAGCTAGAAGACTCAAGCACCGACCATGTTTGGGAAGGATGCCATCAGGTGCCAAAACCTCTTTGGCAAACAAATCGAGGATGCTCACAGCAACCAAAACTTCAGCGGCAAAACATTTCAAGTGGCTGTTCTCTTCAGTGTTGACACGATCCTGCCAAAACTTCTTGGGGAGTTTGGAGCGGGCCTTTGGCAAAACTATCACTTGCCCAAATGTGTCGATGGCCGACAAAGGGAGTCCGGAAGCTTTGATCAACTTGGCAAATTCATTCAGCTCGTATTGCGCCACCCCACCAGCAGCTACCAAAACATGCGTCCAGTCGTACATTGTGTGTTGAACTGGGCAAACTTTGGGCCCAATGGTGGGATGCCATAGCACATGAGAACTGGAAAATTGCAAGCCAAATGCTTGCCCCAATTCGTTACATTGCTTCTTGTTTGCCCCTGACGGCGTGAAGCCGGTCCCTCATGTCTTGGAAAGTTGCTGAGCTGTGTGGGTCCCATTGGCTCCTGTCAGGGCAGCTGTAGTGGACAAGCCATCCGAGATTAGCTGCGTGTATTTGGTCCGGCGTCATGTGGCCAAGGACATTCATGCACAAGCAACATGGTTTGGTGCCTGCTGCTCCACGTAGACCCCAAAGCTCTTTGAGGGCCTTCTCATCCGCCAAAAGCAACCTGAAAGGAGCTTGGCACAGAAAGGTGCCAGTAGATGAGGTGCATGGGAAGCCTCGTTCAAAATTCAATGGCTCTGTTTCAAAAAGCACTGTCAGCATCTTGGCCATGAGACATGAATACCCACCATCCAATTTGTCCACCAGTTTTGCTGGGAATGCAGCAAAGAAGAACCAACCTGCATTCCTGGCAATGTACCATGAAGGCAAATTGGTGAAGGTGTAGTAGAAGCAAGCAACAGTCCGGGAAAGGTCTGGCCGCAACACGTTGCCTGGCTTGATTTCGTCCATGTAGATTGCCAAGGATGGGCCAGTGCCAGAGCGAATCAAATCCCCCAGTCTAGGCTGCAAACTGCACAGTTTGTTGAGCAAGGCGATGGGGCACAAGTATGGCCAATCCCAAGCCTGGCCATCGATATTCAAAGACAGGGATCGTTTGATGGGGCCACATGGCCCATCGCATTCCAAGGCCTTTGCCAACTCGCCACGGACTGCTTTGCGTTGACCGCGGTGATCCAAGTCATCATCGCCCAACAAAGCTACATGGTCGGAGAAAGACAGGTTTTTGGGAATCTTCTTCAGCTTCACATCCTGCTTTCTCAACGGGTAGTTGTTTTGGAGGCGAGCCTTCGGCATTTGCGAGCTTGAGCAGCCTGCAGCATAACACACAAGGTCTTTATTGGCTGGGCTTCCCAATGAGTTCCACTAAACACGGGGGCTCACAACACAAGGGTCCCAGAACACATACGAAACCTTTGCAGT